CCTAGCTTGTATCAGCAAAGCCTTTCTTCCTCCACTTCCTTCCACTTCATCTTCCCAGATGTGATGGGTCCTACAACTTAAGGAGTGAGTCTGCTCATACAAAACACTCCCCAGGCCCTGCTTACTCGGTGATGGAGCTTCCATGGTTCTTGTGGCTTCGTTTTGCTGGAGAGCTCAATACACTGATAGGAGCTGCCTCTCCCAGGAGCAAGCAAGAGCCTTCTTTTATATGACAATAAATTCACATGGATTATTCTTTCTTCTGTCGTGCAAGAAGCATTCGTGCAATCGCTGCCACTTTGCAACAAGTATTTTATTTCTAAGAGATTAATCCACACAACAAAGCCTCTGTTGACTTCTTTCTTTCCCTCTGCAAAGAACAGGTCCCAGCTAAAACTTGCATCACGTTTTTATCCTCTGCAGAGACAGAACCCAATAACTCATACATTGGTTGATGGAGAAGGATGTAAAGTAGGCTTGTTCAAACCGAACATGCCTCGTGGTGTTACAAGGCATTCTGTGTGGTTACCCTCCAGATCAGTAGGGCTGTGGGCCTCATCTTGCAGTCTTTGCTCAGACAACACTCCCATTGACTCCCACAGAACTTCTGTCTGAGTACGGACCCAGGATTTGGCCCAGAATTGAAAAAAAAAAAAAGCCTTCTCAGCTTTCAAATGTAGATGATTAATGTCCCAGAGACAGTGGGCAGAGGTTTGGCACGCTGTACAAAACTGACTTAAAGCTGAAATTTTTCTCCTCTTTCTTAGCCTCTTTGCAGACACAGGCTTTGAAAGTCACTGGTCTATGACATGCTGCATTGTATCCATCATGGGAACATCTCACCTGCCATAGGACTCGACTGAAGCACAGAGGAGACCACGCAAAGAGCTGAGTCTAGGGATCTACACAAGTTCCCTTCTGTCTCTGCAAGTCTGCAAAGCTTTCTGCTTCCAACTTTTGCACGCCACTTGAAGAAAACACTGAAAACCTCCTTACTGAGATGCGCCTCTCCATCGCAGCTTGCGTTTGGAGACGCACAGCTCCTCCTTCTGAAAGCCTGACTTGCACAGCCTGCCCTCCCCCAAACCCCATTCCCTGATAGGCACTGAGATAAAAATGGGCATCCTGCACCAAAACAGTGGCACGTACGGCCTCCAACAAGAGAGCACAATGCAAGGAAGCAGCTGGGCATCTGTAACTGAACAGCCTGGCAGAAGATGAAATGAAGGGCACGCTGGAGTCAAGCAAATTAATGCACGGTCCTCTTCTGCTCTGCACGTCACTCTGTAACTGGTGCCCCTTCCTGCTTCGCTTCCCTGGCTTGAAGCATGGCACGTACAAGCAAACAGGCAATCCCAGAGAAAACATTTCCAAACTGTGCAGTGCTGTGCGAAGGGACAGAGAAGGGATGAAGGGTGCAAAGCAATGAAGAGATAGAGGTGGGGTCACGGCAGCAAAGTAACAGGATCCTAGAGAGCAAAACAAGGACAATCTCTACTGGCCTCACAGATAAAACAGCATCCTCCCAAGCTGAAAAAGCAGCACGCATCAGTTTTGCCAAACTATATTATAAGGACGAAGTGTCCAGATGCATCCTCTTAGAGCCTTTAAAATTCAGAAGACTCCTGAAGGAGATTTTAGCTTACACAGGAAGCCACCAGTGGGATGAGGAAACAAATGACATCGTGACAGAGCAGGCTATGCCAGTGCATGTCCATCTATACATTCTTATTGCCCAGCGAGCGAGGCAGCTTGAATTCCCAGCCAACAGATCGAGCTCTCACTTCATGACAGTACCATTTGCATGGCCACAGCACTGGAAGCACAGCCAAGGACAGGCTATGGGCAGACGCCACTTTCAGCCCCTTGCGGCGGAGAAGGAGGCTCCTGAAAGCATTATGAGTGCAGGGCACGGTAAAGAGAAAACATTTTTTTCAGGGAATAAGATTCTGTCTTGCTCAGCAGCTGTATGTTCCGATGGGACCAAAGGCAAAGAGGGATATGTTCCAGTTTCAGTCATGCTCACGTGAATCATTAATCACCACAAGGACTGGGGAGAGGCTGTGGATTTAAATCCATACAGTTTGTTTCAGAAACTGGCCTCAAAATAAAGACAGAGAAACAGAGAGAATGCCAAAATGATAAAACATGACTGAGAGGAATATTCGAAAGAACAAAGTATCGTCTTGTTTTGCATAACATTCAAATAGAAAGAAGAATAGATGAACATCAAAGTGATTCTACACATCCAGCACAACATCCAGTACTGTTAATGGTTGCTCCCCTCTCCGTTCGCCGACACAAAGTATTGTAGGACGGAGATCACAGCTGGCTCTGTAAAAGTAAGGAACACTCAGGAATTTCTGGTCTAACGCTTTTGTTGGGAAACTAAGATGGAGCAGTCGGTGAAGAAGAACTCAGGTTAGAGGAAAAAAGTTCAAAATATGCCAGATTGTGCACGTTATACTAAAGAAGAAGAAAAAGTACTTGAGAGCAGAGAAAGCTGCAAGAAGATGGAAATAAAAAGAGATTCACTGCTGTGCTCCAGACCAGAGCCATCAGCCGGTCAGTGAGGTCAGGTCTGGTAATACCAAAGAGTCAAAACTGGGCTAAAAACACACATGGAGAGAGCAAGGGAAGAGGCAGCCACATGTCAAAGGAGGTCATCCTACTGAAAGGAGGCAAATGGGGAAATGAAACACCAGGCTTAACCCGAGCTGGTGGAGAGCAGAAGCTTTGAGGGAGAAAGGGAAAGAAGAAACACGGCAACCGATGAGAGCTCTGCGACAAACAGGACAAGAAAAGGAAATGACAACTGGATCTGGAAGGAAGTCTGACGAGAAGGGGCTTTTCTTCACCAAGGAGGATAAGAACAACTTTGAGAAGAGCAGCAGTGATAGGGAAATATAACAGCAATAACACGACATTTCTATAATGCAAATGGAGGTAGTAGCCTGCTAGTAAACTGGGAATGAGACAGAAAACTGGGAATGAGGGCTTGGGTAAGATCGCTGCTTTTGAAACTGCAAGGGGTCGTGGGTCCTCCTCAAAACTAAATGCCAACACAGCAGTCTGTCAAAAATCAGATGAGAAGAAAAGAAAATCTACAGCCAGCACCATGGTGCCCTGTCATTTGGGAAGCTCCGTACACAGTCAGTTACGTCTTTCACTTGCAAGAAAAGAAGTTGTGACTTGTTGCCTCTTTAAATTCTATGCAAAGGACTTCGGTTCATGGAATTGAGACACATAACATGAGAAGCAGATCACACGTGAAAGAAGTGCATGACTGGGCTAAGGGTGGGAAAGGAGATGCTGTTTTGGATCTCAGTAAATTAACTAGTAAAGCATGGAACTATCCATCAAAGAATTCATGGAGAAAGGGTGGAAAGAAGCTATGGACTTTGGAAACGCCTTCATGGCCCACAGTCCTGCAACGGTTTGGTTATATGGAAAACTTTAGGAGTAGAGGATTACAGACCACAATTTGAAAAGTTAAATCATCATGAAATCTACGTCACTCAAGAAAATGTCCTCTTGGATAAAACAAAACAAAACAATATTGTAGGAGGTGAAAGCAAGAAAAGAGAGGGAAGATTGGTCCAGTTTGGAGGACAACATCCAGGTATGTTGAGGGCTGGTGATGTTGTGAGGATCCAGAGAAATGTTCGTGGTAAAGATCACCTTTATCAGAGAAAAAGGGTAGTGTGAATGAAGGCAAAACTGACAGAACAGATTAAACCTCAAGTAAAAAGTTAATTAGTCCAGAAATGTCTGATGAATTACCAAGAGTGATCCTGCAGACTTTGAGCAATATTTCTATTGAGTCCTGTGGTTTCTTGCCTGAAAACAATCACACAGGAGTGGGAAAAGACTGAAAAGCTTCAGCATCTTGGTAACCAAAAAAATCAGTTTCCCTAACACAGTCCATATAAGAGCCTCTAAAACAGACTGACTGAGATATCACAAACTGGCCTTCATTGTAAAAGCAGTCACTACATCTCAAATACTGAGAAGAAGGCACAGAGGTAGACATGCTTAACCAAAAGCTGCACCCCGTCCTCCTTCACACAGCCAGAACAGTTTCTATCACAAAGGACTAGGTATGTCAAACTCTAGTGAATGCAAACATTGAGCTATATAGTACTTGATAATAACTCTGGAGGACACCACATGCCGTTTATCTGTTCCAGGTCTAGCTTCTAAGAAGTGGTTTAACCATTAATCTTTTGGATCAAAATTAGAGTACACTTATTTTCTAAAAGTCACTGGGGAAAAACAAACAAACAGAAAACAGTGTTTTGCAGACAGGTATAAATTAAAAGCCTCTCTTCCGGAGGAGCAATTATTGTCACCTAAATCTTCAGAAACTGTATTCATATGACAAAAGAGGAGTGTAACGGTTCCCTATGAAACAGACTAGTTTCACTGCTTTCTTGGAGTGAAGTCAGGGAAAGAACCTACACGTTTAAAAAAAGGTAAAAATTGTCATTCCCTATGCTTCAGTAATGTGGTAGTATCACATACATATTAAAACAGAATTTTTACCTTTTATCTGGACAGTGTCCAGTTAGTGAAAAATTTACAAACCCCATTAACTGAATGCATTAGCACAACACATTTTGGGCTAATGTGCCGTAAATGCTTCCAGTATTCTGGCTATCCCACATCTGCCCTTACAAACGATCCGTGGCCCTTTGAAAACATTAGCGAACAGGCAAAAGCAGAAAATCCTACAGCCCAAGCCAGTCTTACTGACTTCACCGCCGAAGTGCTGCACGCTTCAGGAGGAGCAGGGCTGCAATGGCCCTACAGCTCCCGACTGCAAGAATTCTGCTATGCACAGTTTCGGAGCTTGATTCATGATACCCTTT